GAGGAAAGGGAGGAAACAATGACCTTCCTCAGCTCTTTATTGCACCTCCTGTTTGTGCAATTAAGACAGTTTTCACGTTTCCAGACAATGTCTGTTGCAGGGTGGTGCAGACCCGGTGCAGGGCAGGGTCTCCCGGTCCCCCCTAAGCGCTTCCTTCGATAATAATAACCACAATTAATAAGTGTTAATGACAACGGCTCCGCGGGGGCTCCAGCCGTCTCCACCGCTCGGCGAAGGGCCCCTGCGCCCGCCCCCGCCGGGGCCGGCCCGGCTGCTGCCACTCACGGCGCCGCCCGCCCCCGGCCGCGCGCGGGGCCGGCCTCGAGCCGGGGCCGGGCTCGAACTCGCGGCCGCGGGCGCAGGGGCCGCGCCCGGCGCGCGCCGCACGTGGCGCCGCCGTTGCAGCCGCGGGCCCCGCGCAGCGCAGCGGGTAAGTGCAGGGGACCCCCTTCCCCCCGTGTCCCTCGCGGGGTGGATGGGGAGGCGCCCCGGGCTGCTGCATCCTCCCCATTCCCTGAGCGGGACCTGCCTCCGCTGCCAGATGTTGCCGGGAAGGGGGTGGATGTGCAGCATCGCCGCACATCTGGCGAGGGAGGAGGGTTTGGGAAGGGCTTCTGCTGGCAGCTGGGCGGCGGGATGGACGGTCCCATTGGGGCCAGGGAGGGGATGTCTGATAACGGCCGTGCCCGGGTATTTATTTATTTTCATGGGATGTTGTGGGGGCGTGGGAGGTTCCCTGTTGATAGATGAGTCACGTAACGAGCGCACATGTCGCATACAGGGAGCGAGAGGAAGGAAAGGGATCCGGATTAGGGGGCTAAAGAGCCCTCCCGCTGTCAAGGGGAGGTTGGCGGCTGGCTGTGTGGTGGGTTGCACAGCCCCTTGCTGCATTTCAGCATGCAGATCAGTCCCATTCCATGGGCAAAGCTCAGCCGCCCATGGGATTCTGCTCTCTTCTCAGGTCCCCTGACTCCCACGTGAGCGGCTGGTGGGTCCGGCACTCAGGCTGCACGTGGACCCTCCGCATCCTTCCAGGCACTTCCTGGTGGCAGCAGTTCAGTGCTGCTGCAGGCCTGGCAAGAGAAATGGGACCGGGGAATGGGAAATGAGTCTGTTCCAGCACAAAACTAGGGGTAAACTGGGTACCAGCATTTGCATCAGCAAATGGACTTCACCTAGGGTTAGGGATGTAGGTGATATTTTACTATCACATTGGTGTAATGGGCAAAATACTGAAGGATTTTCTGTCCCTGACCCATGCAGTGCCTTTTCTGATCATCTCTTTGCTTCTGGCTTTGTCTTTTTTACAGGATAACTCTGTGATACAAGAAGCGCCACCATGAAGGGTGAGGAAGCCCGACAGAGGAGAAAGGAGGGCAGGACTAGGAATGGGGACCGATCGAGGCACAAAGGGAAGAGCAAGGGTAAACACAGAGAGAGCCGGCTTGGCAGCCAGGAGGCAGAGGATGCCTGTTTGCTTGCACAGCAGAAGCTGTTGCCTGAGGAGAAGGTGGCCATGGCAAAGCCACGGGAAGAGTCAGCCCTTGCCATTTGCCTGCAGGTGCTCCTGCCCTACCTCCTGGCTGGGCTCGGCATGGTCTTGGCAGGCATGGTTTTGGATTATGTTCAGGTAAGGAGAAGGAAGGTGTCTCATGTCTCTGGGATGGGCAGGTGGGAGATTTGTCTTCAGAGGCAGGGCATTTGCTCTGCAGATGGCAAAGGTGAATTTGCGGGAGATTCTCATACAGGTGTATCCTTCATGTAGTCCATAATCACTTTGTGTAGCCTCAGGAGAGACCATTTGGTGGTTTTATGGACCTTTGTGTTCTCTGGAGGCAAAAGACAACATGGTGCTGAAGGACACGTGAATGATCTGAGGTGCCTGTCTAGATGTAGTTCTGGAAAGCTCTGCATCCCCTTCTTCGCTGCCCAAGGAGGCAGGCTGCCCAGCACTGCTAGTGCCTCAGACAGCCAAGTCCATCCTGCCTGCGCTTCTTATCCTGGTCTAAGACCTTTTAGCAATCCCTTAAATCCTTGAGACTATTGTCTGTGATATCAGTTCTGTGACAGTCAGAATCAGACCTTGCCTCCCATCGTGAAACAATGCAGAGCTTTAAAATAGTGACATGGACTTAATTTTAGGCAGTTTAAACCTGTAGTTATTTCCAGACTGTAAACTATTATGGCTTTGTGCTCTGGGTTGCTCTTACTGCTCTGTGCTTTTCTCTTAACCCTTATTATTTGATTAGCTACCTGTTGGGTCAGGCTGCCCTGAGCTCTCTGATACAGTGACATGGGAACTACTGTGCCTGCATGGACCTGCTTTCATTAAGCTGTGTTCCTTTCCTAACAGCCCCGAGCTGATCTCCTTAAGCTAAAAGGCTGTAAGGGCTTAGGAGTGGCAGAATAGCCTTAAATGACTTTTGCACGTGCTCAATATATAACAGCAAACCTATTCAGATGAGAAGACACCGAGCAAATCTGGAACACAGTCACAAACTGCTTCTGGTCTCCTTTGATATTGCTCTGAGAGTCTTGAGCCTTGAGCAGCCACTTTCAGTTTTATTTTTAGAGTCTTTGGACCTGCCCAACCCTACGGATCTCTGACAGTAAATGTGTGTTACCTCCAAGCCTGAGATATTAAGGGATAAGATAGATTGCAGATGGATTTATAGTGTTGGAAGTGTTTGGGTTTTTTCCCTTGGAGTGTTTTTCTCTGGGAAGGGGTGGGCCACTAATTTGAACAAAATGTGAAATAAGCCTCATATTCCTCTGAAACCACAGAAATCTGGTTTCTATTTCAGGCAAATAGTTTAAAAAAAAAAAAGTTTCATGTTATTGCTTAGAGCCTGGAATATCAACCCATCTAACATCACATAAGAAAACTAGGTCTTTGGCTATTAGCACATCAACGTCTGCTGCGTGAGCAACCACCTGAATGCATCTCCTGGTGGCCTTGCTGCAGCTAGGAGTGGTCCTCCCTTTCTGATAGACAGCCCTGTTCCAATGGAGACTGTTTCTGGCCTAGCTGCTGCGGGGCAATGCTGCTGGTGGCTAGATGACAAGGTCAGTGATACCACGTATAGCAGCAATACCATGTGTGGAGAAGGGCAGCATGCATCTCCCCAGGCTTTGCCATGAAGGGTGGTGCAGCTTTGGGGCTCATCTTTTTCTCAACCAGTCGTGCTCTGTCTCCTGCTTGGTCACACTCCCTTTCTTCACAAACTTGGTGCATCTTTTGGCAGGCAAATACGATGTGCCTCGGTCAGAAGACATGATGCATCTTTTGCTGGTGCATGCAGTGCAAGCCTTTATCAGAGACTCCTTAAATGCATAATAAAATGAATGCCCGGGTGACCTGAATCAATTACCCTCTCTGCACGTTGATTCATCGGTTGAAGGCTTTTTATGGTGCTTACTTAGAAACAGAGAGAGCCGAAGTGTGATAAATGCACAAACCCTGGCGGGCTGCAGCTTCAGTATAGGATGTTTTGCGGCCGTATTTTAAGTGGTATCTCAGTCATTCAGGCTCATTGATATTTCCTTCACTCTAATGTTCCTGCCTGTGAGCAGCCTAGTCAGCAGGTATGGTGACATTTGGGCCTGGTTGTGTACATTATCAGACCTCTGCAAACATGTGGCCTCCTGCCCAGTGACCTGTCTTTTATTCTTTATTTCCTGAGTGAGTTTCGAAGCAGAACTGGACCTTCAGTCTGCCGCTTTTAAGTTCCTGGCTGATACGAGATCAGGTTATGTGTGGTTATTACTATTTGTATTTTTTAAGGAGCATCTGTCTTAGAGCCCCTGTAAATGTCCTCCTTGTTAGACCAACTGAAATGATTTCCCTCTCTAGCTTTCAGTCCCGTGGAGCAGTGTTGGGTGGAAGAGGCGCACAGGTAGATATGAAGCCAGTGGGGAAGGTCTGACAGGCTTCTCCTGTCCCAAAATAACCTAGAAAGTTGCCGAAGGAGAGTCTCACGTCTGCAGCTAGAGCTCTTGTGCTTCCATAGAAATCTCTGCCATCTCAGCCCACTAAGCCTCCTTCCAAAAGGAAAAACCAAAGGAAATGCACCACCCAAAATAGCTGAGAGCTTCTTAAGCTCCCTGTCTATCTACGAGGCAAAAATATGCCTGGTTCTGTCCAAGCCAGCCCATGCACTTAGTTGCAAGCCGGGGAGCCTGTCACTGGCCCACAGTCACATTAATCTTTACATCTCTCTGCAGAGACTGTCAGGGAATGGGCTGCTTAGTCCAAAACGTATTAGCAAGGCAGTGTAGTTTAAACATTGAGTTTGAGCTGACCTGAGAAGCCGATAGACACAGAGCACTTGCTTTCAGTTGTTTGCCTTCGCTCGGGCATGGCTGTGTTTGAACCTGTGGTTAGATAGCGGAGAGAGCATGCCTGCCACCCTACTAACCCACTCCTGTACCCTTGCCTACTAAGCTGTGGTTTTAAAGCCTTTTGACCTTTAGATCCAGTTAGTTTGCTGAAGTTATTAGAAAAGCGTCCTGGCAGAAAACCACGACTCCCTTCCCCACATGCTTGGCTTTAAGTTGCAGAATATTCTGTCGTCTTTCCTAAGCAGGATACAAATTCCACGGCCGTATGTGGCCGTGACGTAGCTCTGATTCCTGTGCATGGGTCAGCTGTTTGGCTATGGAGACGCAGAGATGAGACCCCCAGGTGTAGGGCCAGGAGGGATTTGTTCCCAGGATCACTCACAAGCGACGTGTTTCGCTTTGGAAGAGAGACGAACCGGCCACGTGCCCCGAAACGGTCGCCCTTTCGCTCCCTCCCTTGTGGTGTAGCGAGATTATGGAGCTACCTTAAATACGCTCCAGCTATGACTCTTATCTTGGCCTTTGCAAACTAGCAGAAAGTTGAAGTGATGACAGCAGATAAGGGTGTTCACTTCTGAAGCTTATTGGCTGGTTCTCTGCATTTTTTTTCCCCCTCTGAAAGCCAGTCATTCAGAGGTATAGCTGGCACACGCCGACTGTTCCATCTCGCTGGGACCACGGAGGAGCGGCCGGGGTCTAGAAGGGCAGATCTTCTCTCACCAGCTGGGTCAGCTGTGTCACTTGCCTGGAAATGGTACCTGCCTAAGACTGTCAGCAATGAGAAGTGTGGACTCGTGTTTTCCTTGACCTTTCGTCACCTTGGAGGACAGCAAAGCGGAACCCGGTTGCTAACCCCGTCCCTCCTCGGCCTTGGAACAGTGAGAAAAGTTCAATGGTGCTTGTGGTGGGAGTGAGGGGACCGGGGCTGGTTTGGAGCAGCTTATATATTAAACGATCGTATCAAAGGCAAGCGGCAGTCTGACGAGAAGTGTAACCCGAGGAGAAAGGACACTAGTGTGTTTGAGCACGCCGAGGGATTCTTGCCTGACCTGTCACTCTTCTAATGCCGTAGCCTGAGCAGGTCTTTCTGGTTTTTATGAAGGTGGTGGGAGCTGAAGGGGGTGTGGGCTTGTTTCTGTTCATCCACGGACGTCTCTGCAATCTTCCTATCTCTTTTTTAATTCCCCTCTGGATATAACTTGGAGAAATAGTGTCCGTCAAGTTTGCTGCCGCTTCGACTCAACCCAGCTGAACTGATTTTGGAAGATACTCTTGCTTGCATCCCTCTGGAAGCACTTCTAGGAGGAAGAGAAGCTAAATAAATTTCTCATCGTTGTTGTGTAGAGGAAATACTTTTCTTTTGACTTTGGAGTGAAGTCCTAGGAGAATCTATGTGATGTCCTAATCTCTGCCCACCATTCTGTGTGCCGAGCATGGGGTAGCTGTATTTGACCATGGTGGTCACACAGTTGCAGTTGGAGCTGTGCTTTCATGGCAAGAAGCTGAGAGGTTTCACCTGCAAGCTGACCAGATCAGCCAGTGGATTTCTCCCAGAGACCTCATTCTCCATTGCATCCCAGATTTTCGTGCCCTTCCTTCTGGCTGGCTTGGGCATGGTAGCTGCTGGGCTCCTGATGGATGTTGTACAAGTAGGTACATGTGGTTAGGCTCCTTGATAGCAAAGGGGTGGGTTATTTCACTGGCCTTGAGCATGTGTGTTTTTCTTTCTAATGGTGTATAGTCCTGCCAGGTAGTCAGCAGGATGACTATAGGTTTTCCTGCACTGGGAGATGCTGTTCATCTTCAGGTCAGTACATGGGCACCTTGCAATGCAGGGTGATGGTTTTCAGCTGGACCGCCCTCCATGCAAGAGATCAAGTGCTCCCTCCGCTGTATCCAGCTAAACATGTGGTGACAACCGGTATGATGCAATGAGATCAGACTGCAGCGTATTCCTCTATTGCATGTTATTATTTCTTTACCTCAGAAAATTCTGATAAGCAGATCTGGGTCATGGCTGTTAACTACTCGTCTCACCCACAAGTTTATGCTTTCCGTTCTTTGCAAACAACCTAATGTGATCTTTGGTCTAGAAGACATTTAGATACCGTGGTGAGCGACATGGCAGCATAAAAAGATAAGTGTTGCCTACAAACTGAGTGCTTCTTGGGCAGGTTGTGAGGTGGGTGCCAGTTTGGAATAGCTGCTATCAACTTCCAAGGAGTTGTGCTCAATTTATACCCTCCCACCCACAATCAGAATCTGTCCCATGGCTCTTAACTGTACTGGTGGCACCAAGAGAAATTCAATATTTGTTCTAGTTTGGGCATCTAATACCGCTGGATTTACAAATCAAAAGGCTGGCAGAGTTTCTCAAGGATATGTCCTGTACTCTGAGCTCACTAGAGTACATTGGATTCTCTGGCATTAGAACCGCAGCAGGAGCTAAATATGGACACTTGAGTGCTTGGAAAAACAATACCTTGCTCTTTTTCTTGCACTGAAAGAAACAAAGAAGGCGAAAAAGTCAAATTAAGGAGAATATGAGGAATATCAAATAAAGGAGGGTTAACTGGAGTGGCACATGCTCTTGCTGTGCCGTGTTTGTCGTCTCCGCCTTGTGCTGTGCTGTTAGGTACAGACCTGTCTTGCAGCATTACAGAAGTTCTCAATCTACCCAAGATGTTATTTTAGTACTTAGCAGTTATCTTTGGCCATCTGTTTCAGGGAAGGAAAAGACATAGTGCATACCCATTCCATACCCTTGGCAGGTAAACAGGGCTTTGTCTGTGCGTAATCCAATGCAATTCCAAATCCAAAGCCTAAGAATTGGGCTCAATTCAAATGCTGCTGTGTTTTTGATGAAAAATACCAACCGTTCATACCTGCGTGTGTCCTCCAAATATTAGATTGTAGTCCACTTTGTATATTAGCTCACTAGTTTCAGAGATGGGGTCATGCCTGAAGCAGATGTCATAGTGCTTGTTTTGGAGGAGATCTCCATTATGTTACAATAGAAGTTATCAGGCAATAGGTTCAGCTCCCAAACTCTGAGGAGGGAGCTAGTGAGAACTGAGAGTCACAACTGGTTTAATAGAGATGCTATTGAGGTAGGCTGCCATGGTATCAGCAACTCTGCATTTAAAAACAAAGCCAGTAGCTGGAAAAATCCAACATTTTAGACTTTAAAGACTTTATGCCTTTTATTCTTTTAGCTGATTGGGGGTTTTTTTGTATCTTTCATTCTGACGCAATGAGAAACT